GCTGCCAAACTCCTTTCCTCACTAAACCATGCCGAGACCAGCAACTGAAATTTGCTGGATTAGGCCAAGGCTGCTAAGGCTACTCAAAACCAAGCTGAGGCTAAAGCCGAAGTTGCTGAGACCGCTACCGAAGCTGCAAAGGCCGACGTTGAGGCTACCAATGCCAGGGCAGTAGAGTCTGAGGCCAAGCTCAAGGAGGCCATTGAATCAAAGGAGGCTGAGGTCAAGGCGGTCGACGAAAAGGCCTTTGAAGAAGGCTAAGTTTCCATCCGTGATCAGTACAAAGAGAAAGTCAATCTAGCCTACAACAAAGGCTACTACTTGGGATGGGTGGTTGCTCTTAACAAACTGGCAATGCCTCTTAACTCGCCACTTCGAGATATTACTCAACTGCAAGTTCCCTTCCCTCCTATAGACACCCCATTTTTGACCGCCCGTAAGACTTGGGTGCTACTGATTGACCACTCGATGATGAAAGTTATGCTATCCAATCGCTCAATTTCTTCAGTAAGAAGAGCTTCTAAATCCCAACCTTACACTCCATTTTGGACCGAAACGTTTTGTTTGACCAAAACAATTTTAGACCTTAAAACTCTCTCTTTCAAAATATTTTTGAAAATTCTTTTATGATGTTCCGAGGCTCGCATTTCGTTAAAAATTGCACTTTTTGATAAACCGAGCAAGGACAAAGTGGAAATAAATGGAAGAGATGTGAACTCTTTGAAAAATCTTTTTAAACATCTTATTAATAGGTTTAGAGTTGAAGAAAATTAGAGGGGAGGGAAGAAACCAAGTTGGGAGAGAAGTTAGGCGTCAACCGTTAAGGGAAAACTGAGCAGCCTCCACTAAATCAGACCTATCCTTTTGTACAAATGGACTTTAATTATGGGGCCACCACCATTAGAAAGTAGACTTCCAGGGGTTCAATTTAGACTCAAGAATGACCTGCAAAGGGCTCTGGATGAAGGAGATATATCCATTTGAAGTCGGGCCTGGAAGTAGATTTTTACTTCTGGCTTGTCGGCCAATGGTGAAAAACCAAGATATTTTTTTCCAGTTGTCCCCCAAAAGCTCTAGCTGTCCAGGGCTTGATATTTTCGACCCAAGGCTCATATTTCATCCAACCCCATGTCTTTCTCCCTTTTATTTAATCGCTTTTGATGGTTAGATTAGGGACATGTTTCAATTAGCATACCTTATGCTTGCATCCATTCATCTTGTCTTGCATGCACCGAGGCTCGGCGTATCATTCAAATTGCATTGTCATTTCAATAATTCTTTGAATACGTGTTTAATCACATGTTATTGAAATTGACTCATATGTCATATTAGTAGCCGAGCCCATTAAATTGCATATTGTATGTGTTGCATTAGACATTTTGTATAGTTAGGAATCATGCATAGTTTTCTAACTCATATCTTCTTAGCTTGGAATACTAGGTGAGTTTAGCATACTTGCCTGAGTGTGAGTGATTGCCATGACTAGCATGCTTGCCACAAGGCTAAAGGCTTACTTGATAAAATGTTTGAATGCCTGTAGATGAAGCCTTGTTGTTTGAATTGAAACGATTCAATAAAATGTGCGTTTTAAGCCCACTTTGTTAAGTGACAAATAATCTTTAAGCCCACTATGTTTGGTGGCAAATTTGAAACTTTAAGCCCACTTGAGGTGGCAAAATTCAAACCATTTTCGCAAAAACAAACATGAGTTGAATTGTTCCAACTTGAGCAAACTAGTCTATATTTGCTTGTGCGCATCACATAGTAAAGCTAGCTTAATAACCGGAACAAAAGCACATAGTGTTGATACAAATCATATCATGATTAGTAGATGTTGATCTTTGATCGGGCGAGCGAGGGTGCTCAATTCATGACCTTCCTCTCTCGTACCCAAGTTCCTGAGCCGAGGCAACTTTAGTGATGACGGACGCATAGCCTTTGGCACGAGTTAGGGTTTCCTAAATTTTTCCAAAAACAAAAAATATTTAGGTGACGACTCTGTATCTGGCAAAGCAGTCCAATTTTGGTATTATTTGATTTTAAATCAATTTTCCAAAAAGATTTGTCAGATTTGGACTCTTTGGTGTTTATCAGTTTCATATTGCACTTATGAGATTAAATTCAAAGCCACGGGAGTCCAAACTGTAGGGCTTTTTTTCAAACCTTCCAAAAGGGGACGCAAAAAAGTCGAGCTACACCTCCCTCTCCATCTGAATCTGAGGAAGATGGCAAAGAAGAAGATGCCGAGGCTGAGGAAGGGGTTGAGTCCAAGGTCACTACTGGGGTTAAGTCCCCTCACTCTGAATGATCAAGTCCTAGACTTGACTCAGGATGATGAAGAAGAGGCTTCCAAAACTGTCTTTCCCAAAACAACTTTTGAGGTCGAGGTCACTTTAGTCAAGAAAAGTCTAGATCAGACCCTCTTTGAAATCGATGTCGAGATTGCGGTTGAAAAGTCTGCCCAGCTATTGTCTGAGGTTGCAACAACTCCAACTGCCGAAGTCGAGCTGTCTAAGAAAAATGCTGAAGATCTTAGTCCTTATAATTTTTCCTTTTTCTATGTACTCTTTCCTTTGTAATCGTTTATGCTTGACTAGTTTTTGTTTTTGGCCAATGTGCCCTTGCAAATGGACAAGTTCATCTTTTATGAATACCAATCTTCCCTGTTTCTTATAAGTGTTATATGTTTGTCTCTTTATGCTTGATCTACCTTAACTATTTTGTATGCTTCCATACTTAGGATATTTTTGCACTTCTCTTAATTGCAACTTACTTGTGTAATCACTTTGGGTTAGAACACCTCGGACCTATATCACCTCGGTCCCATATCAACTCGAGTACAACCTTAGTTAGTCATCTTAGACCAATATACCTCGGAGTTTATTTTTGCTGCGATCTCGTCCAGCTGGCACTATATAAAAATTCTTTGAATAACTTTCAACAAGTTTTGTTTCCTTACTTGTACTTGTTGTGTCTTGTCAAGACTTCACCCTTCCAACCATTCCAAACTTGGCAGCCTGGTTGTTTATCTCGAGTAACAAGTACCTCGGGTATTCCCTTATCTGTTTACCTTGGCTGACTCCAACTTGTAAATTTTTTTTAAAAATTTTAACAAGTGTCAAGCTCATTCCTTATTCTTGCTCCCTGCCCCCTAATGTGAACCTAAGTACCACTTATGTTCACATTAAACATGCATCTCCAATTTTTGCCGAAGTCTGATTCAAACAAATCGTAGCCGAGGTTTTCTATCTTGATGTCTCTGTTAATCTGACTAGATCAAACTTAGTTCAACTCTGTCGTCATGGCAAGTTAAAGTTACTTATCACGTTTCATTATGAAATATTTCCAACTTAGTTCAATTCTACTATATGGCAAGTGTTAATTCAACTCTACCATATGGCAAGTCTAAGTTACTCGTCATGTTTCATTCTGAAATATCACGAACTTAGTTCAACTCTATCATATGGCAAGTCTAAGTTACTCGTTATGTTTCATTCTGAAACATTGCTAACTTAGTTCAACTCTACCATATGGCAAGTGTTAACTCAACTCTACCATATGGCAAGTCTAAGTTACTCGTCATGTTCACCATGGGAACATCATCATAAGAATGTCTTATTTTCATCTGGGGCATACATTACTATCTGTTGGTAGCCTCTATATGCATCCAGGAAACCCATCCTCCCATGCCCTGAAGTGGCATCTACTAATTGATCAATCTTGGGCAGTGGAAAACTGTCCATGGGGCAAGCTTTATTCAGGCTGGTGAAGTCCACACAAACCCTCCACTTGCCATTCTTCTTTTTCATTACCACTATGTTGGATAGCCAGGTAAGGTAGTTCACCTCCCGAATGGCCTAGGCTTCTAACAGCTTGTCCACTTCCTCCTCAACTGCCTCCACATGTATCAATGCCGGCCTCCATGCTTGATGGATGACAGGTTTAGCTGACCTGTCCACATTGAGCCTATGACAAGTGACCTCGGGGTCAATGCCAGGCATCTGATAGGGCGTCAAGGCAAACACTTCTATGTTTGCTCACAAAAAAGTCTCCAACTCCTTTTCCTCCTCCTCGGCTAAACCTAAGCCGAGAAGGAAGAAGCGCTCCTCATCACATTCTTGGACCAAAATCTTCTTCAAAGCTTCCTCACTCTTGTCGGCTGGTTCTTTACCGACATCATCTAAGACCTCCATGTCCTCGTCTTCGATTTCCACTATTTCTACTTCCCATATGTTGCAGGTGGACTTCATTGCTTCCATGGAGCAATTTTTCATTTGCACATAATCCCCTCTGACCTCCTCAATCCCTTGTTCGATTGGAAATCACAACAGCTGGTGTAACGTTGAGGAAATAGCCCTCATTGCATGCAACCACAGTCTTCCCAAAATAACATTGTAAGGGGAGGGGGTGTCAATTACTGTAAACTTTGTGTTTACTTTCTTGGTGCCTACCTGCACTTCCAAACTCATGGCTCTTAAAGGCCGTGTCGGCGTCCCATTGAATTCAACCATCAAGCTGTCGGATTGTTCTAGATCATCTGGGTGAAGGCCGAGCTCCTTGTAACATCTAACATACATGATGTCACAAGAACTGCCTTGATCAACCAATATGCACCTCACCTATCATTCTCCAATCTTCAATGTTATTACCAGGGTATCGTTGTGTGGGTGCTGCACCATATCCAGGTCTACCTCAGTAAAAGAAACCATTGGTCTCTGGTACTCATTTGTCCTAGTCTTCTTTTGCTGGACCTAATACACGTGATGTAGGTGCCTTACTCTCTAGGTGTCCCCTCACACATCATTCTTATTGACCTTCGAGTGAATCACATTGATCACCCGGTGTCCATCTGCTTGCTGTGGTGGTAGTGATGGAGGTGGTGTTGCTAGTGCCTGGAGAAGCCTTGCATACTCTTTCCTTGTCCTGGCCTCATCTACTAGGTGTCTTAGGTGACCCTGTCTGACCAAATGCTCCAAGTACATCTTCAGAGCCCTACATCTCTAAGTCAAGTGCCCATCCTCATTATGGTAAGCACAGTGCTTCCCAATGTTCCTTCTCATTAACTCACTAGGGATCTTCTCCAGCGCTCTGTAATATGGCTGGTTCTTGATCCTTTCCAAAACTTTGTAGATCGGGATCCTAAATATAGTGGTGACTACCTGTGCAGCCCTCAACCCTGTCTCCTGCCTGTTTACACCAGAATTACCTCGATCTCGCTTCGGCGAGCCGCTTCTCTTCTCTTGCTTTGGTGTCTTCATTCCTTGCGTGTCCTCTTCTACTCTGACATATTTCTCAATCTGTGCCATGTGCTCCTCCATACTTTTTGGTAGGATTTTTGCAAGTGATTTTCGAAGTGGGCATTCATCATCCAGGTCATTCTTAAAAGATATGACCACCAGCTCATGGTTATAAGCCGAAATTCGCTTGAATATCTCGTAATATCTCTTGGCGTATGCCCTCAGGCTTTCACCATCGCTAATGTTCAAAGCCAGTAGGGAGTCTACCCTTAGTGGCTACAACTTGTTTATAACAAACCTGGCCACAACCATCTCAGCCAGACTCTTCACAGTTCCTCTCGACAACTTATGAAACCAATCAGATGCTATCTCTCCAAAGGATGAGGGGAACACCTTGCACAGTAGTTGCTCATTCCCGCTCCACAAAGCCATGGAATTTAAATACAAGCCGACATGAAAGTTTGGATTAGACTTATAGTCATAAATCTGGAATCTCGGCATGTGGAATCTCTTTGGGGCCTCAAACGCATCCAACTCCACTAAGAACGACATCCTTGGCTTGACAGGGGATGTGATCTTGGCGTTGTGTCGCTTCCTCTAGAGGTAGTCTCTCAAATCCTCCTTCGTTTGACCGGGAGCTTGGCTATCAATAGATTTCAGCCTTTTTTGTGCACTGCTCCTGGTGTAATTGTGCGTCCGTTTGGACTTCTCCTCATCTAATGCATTAAAACAAAGACCTTTCCTCTATATGTGCCGTGATTCTTTGGCATAGGTCCCCTTGGTTAATGGTGTCTTCTGTGACTCACCTCTTACTGACTCTGCTCACCCGACATCTCGTAACGGCTGGTGTGAATGTTCCTTTCCCTTGCCGTGTTGTGGGACTACTAGGATTGTCTTTTATCCCCTTTTTGGACATTAGTCTTGGCCACTGGTGCCGATGTATCCTGCAATGGGAATGGTGGTTGCATCACATTATTCTGCATTATGAAGTTGACAACCAACTGTAGGTCTAACAACTTGTTTGTCATTTCTTTCATCTTGCCATCCCACCTCAGACATCTATCCTTCCATACCTAGAGGTCGCTTTTGTTGTAATATTCATCTCGACCACCCTTCTTCGGGGCGTTACCCTCTTTGCCGACGTCCTTCTCTTCAGGATTTGGATCTTGTGCTCGTTCATTACAATTTTACTCCCCAACATTAGGATCTACATGCTCACCACTTTCACTGTGGATGTTGTCCCCAATCTTTTCTTTCGGCCCGTTGTTAGCTGTCTATTCTTCTTAAATTCCCACAGATGACGCCAAATTGTGGGTGTTGATTTTTGACAACACAATCAAACGGGGAACTCAGCTAGAGAGCACCGGCAAAATAGATTAAGCCCAACAACCTGTAACAAGAAGATGAGAATACCACGGTGGTTCGTCCACTTGGGGGCACTCCACCGATCAAGTTAGTAATCTCTTAAAGATATCAATTCAAGTATTTAACTCACAAAGTATTGCTCACAAGATATCACAAATACCTGAGACCCATGGGGGTGCCCCTTTTTTATAAAAGGTAGTGACCTGATACCTTTAGAAGCCTCACTTTAGTGGACTCGGGCTCAATGCTTATCTTGAATCCTTAGCTGGATAGGGATAAACTCTTCTTGAGCTTTATCTTTATCCAAACTGAGATCCTCCTCTTGTTCTAGGACCCGTGTCCCCTATCCACTTATCTCGGATTTCGACGTCTCCGCAGATAACCCCGGCCTAGCCGAGATTATCTTGGCAACGTTACCAGGCCACGTGGCACCTCGGCTGACACTTCTGCGTCACCCTGGCCACGTGCTTTTATTCACAAAATACTTCCCCACACATAAGTATATATACATTACATATACAATTATACATTACCATTGTAAATACTAATATAGCTAAATAAAATAGAATCAAAACAACAAATTCTAAAATCGAATTAGCTTCATGGCTTTTAATGACAGTATTGGTAAATTCTATACAATCATGGTCATAGAATTGGGACCAAGTAAGTTCTAATGATATAAATGGTATGAATCAACACAAGTATTGGTGTGTTCATGATAGCTATTGGCTGTTGGATTTACTCAATATCATAGATGCATTCAAATATACGATCATTTGTTATCTAAAACTTACAAAGTTTCAAACTACCAAAATTGCATAACTATCATTAGTGTGTATAGATAAAATACTACATAATTATCATTAGTTTCTCTTCGACCTTGCTTAGAACCTGTTTGTAGAGTTCTGATTTCCTCACATCGTAATATTTTTGTGAACTTTTGGCCGACTTTTGGCATGTTTTTTTTTTTATCCATATGCTTAGCATTAGCATATATAGATATGTGGAATTTCAAACTCATGGCCATGCTTAAACTACTATTCTAACAACCTGCTTTTGTTGTTGATACAAGTACATTGGGCCTATTCAGAACAAGGGAAATACATTACGCAACCTAAGGTTTAACGAATTGTTGATAAGAAAAAAGAAAATTGCATATGAAGAAGAGTTTCAACTATTCCAACAAAAATCCAACAGTTCCAAAATTCAAAGAAACATTCCAGAAATATTCCATATCATATACGTATATATATGGAGAAAATTACAATGTACACCCTTTCAAATGGTACACATTGTAAAAAAGTTATGATTTTTTATGATGAACATTATGATTATTTATGATATGTGTTATGACATTTTGTAATAAAGTTATAAATGGAAAATTTATGATGTGCATCCTAAAGTTAGAAATCATGACATTTTGTGATTTTTGTTATGACACTTTGAGATTTTGTTATGACATTTTTCAGTGAAAAAAAGTTATGGAATTTGTAATGAAGAAGTTATGACATTTTGGGTTTATGTTATGAAATTTTGTGAAAAGTTATGAAAAGCATACCATATGCACTTTTTTGAAGGTGCACATTGTAACATCTCCCATAAAATCTCTAAACATTTAAAATACATCTATTTTTGAATGAATACATCTAAACGCATTATGGAAGAACATATATAAATTACTTTTAGAATTAACACCAAATAGAGGAAAATAAAACAAATTAATCCTATTAAGGAAGAATTGACAAACAATCAGACACCACCTTCTTACATTTATTTTTAGGGAAAATTAGTCTAAGGTCCTTCTCCCATTTTTAGTAACGGAAAAGGTCCACAATATTATTTTTTGATGTCTAAGGTCCCTAGACCCACACCGAAATATCATATTAGAGAAATTTGATTCTGCTCTTCTTCTTCGATGCCTAACTCTCAGAATCATCAACCCTAGAGTTAGACCCAAAAAACCCTCCTCTCTCTCCTTGGCAGTTCGCTCACGTGGACCGGTAGGAAGCAACATCAGATCTACGTTGGTGAGGCGTTTGGCAGGGGTAGAGTTGTTGAGCTCGAAGAGAGGGATTTTTTTGGGCTTCTTCTTCTTCATCTTCGTCTTCGTCGCCGCAAAAGAAAGTGTCACACCCCAAACTTGCCCCTAAAAGTTCGGGCATGACCCATTAAAAAACAGACATATAACCTGGTATATATAGCATATGGGGCCTTATCGGAAGCACAAAATATTAAAAGAATATTAAACCAAACAAACTCCATTGAGCTATTTCTAGTATGCCAGGATCTCATACATCACATGCACCATAATAGGCCGATAAAGTCCAAAAATATTCCTTAGCAGTACTTATACACAAACATATATACATACCCAGCCCTATAATCGGGCATGTACAAAACTATTGAAGTTATATACATTCATCCTTAGATGGCCAATCAAAAGTAAGCCAACATTCAACAAACTTCACAAAATAAGTGGCCTTGGATAGTGCCTGGACATACGAAGGTTGACAAAAGAAACCGGGCGTCATGGGTTAGAACTGACCACCTGGTTGGTTACCTACAGAAACAGACATATAGAGAGTGAGCCAGGCTCAGTGAATAGTAATATTTAAATGAAACAATGCTTAACTCGAAACATGACATATATCAATACATATGGAAGTGCAGAGATCACATGGTTAGCCTGATTCTGTGTTCATTTCATAACGGCCTTAGGCCCAGACTTGAACATAAAAGCTTGAAACATAACATCTTAAATCATAATGACTTAAAGCCCGTGAACATGGTGGCATAATGCCCTTGAACATGATGGCATAAAGCCCTTAAACATGGCGGCGTAAAGCCCTTAAACATGGCGGTGTAAAGCCCTTAAACATGGCGGCATAAAGCCCTTAACATGATGGCATAAAGCCCTTAAACATGGCGGCTGTGCACATTTCTCTTTGCATCAATACTAGTGGTGGTGGTGGTGGTGTTGTTTTGCCTCCCCCATTTTTTTAAAGTTAAAAACCATAGCTGTTAGTTCTTTACATAATCTGGAAATTTCTCTGGATAGATTTTCTCTGGTCTAGAATTTCTTTGGGAAGTCCAGAGAATTTCTCTGGATGAAATTGAGGGACCTTGGACATTATGAAATTATTAGACGTCCTTTATACTATAAAACCTTAATACCAGGGATCTTAAAAAAAAAAAAAAAACCCCTTATTTTTATTCATTCAACTTTTAATTGATTAAACAATTCAATGGTCTTGATTAGTGGTGTGGGCGGGGGTTAGGGTAGGTTGAGATGTTGTCCAATCTCACTTCAAGTTGTGCTGAAAGCTACTCAGGTCACCCAAGTTTGAATCGTAACTTAAGATTGTCAGTTTAAGTCCGACCCGTTTATTTTCTCATAATTCATTTTTTTCATACAAAACTGGTCTAAACATGTGGTTGTTGTTATCCGATCAACTTGATTTTTTATAGGAATTATATATTCAATGAATTCTAAAATATGAATGGTGTAAATTATCGAAATAGGCTAAAAAAATAAGCCCAATAGGCCCAACAACACTTCACGTGCGGCAAGCTCTCCCGCACGTTGCGGCAAAATGTCCCGCACGTGCCTTTTAGACAGTGGCCAAGCCCCTGTTTTTCACCATTTCCCGCACGTGCGGCCATGACTCCTGCACGTGCGGCCATGATCCCCGCACGTGCGGCGATTCTGCCCAAAATTGTCCGAAAATTCTTGCAAAATCCCACCTTTTGGAAAACATGAACAAGGCTCAAAATAACTTTCCTAATTGGTAAAACATGACCCAAATTCATATAAATACAATGACAATTACATACATCAAACTAATATACTTTAGTTCAACATACACAAGTCCATAAGAGTTCTTTCTTTACATGCCCATAAGCATACTTTGACATAAAGCCATGCTCACACACTTGAGTTCAAAGTAAGAAGATAAAATATAACTTCTCCATGGTTAATTTCAATTGAATCAAACAACCAAGTAAGGTTATCTTGTCCATTAACTTCTTACACACATATAGAATCATCATTCCAACCCCTAAGTGACATGATCATGAGGGTATTTCACACATCCTAAGAAGAAGAGTTATGGGAGTTAATTGAGATAGCCTTATACATACCTTGTGCTTAAACTTCCTCAAATTCCCAACCCTTTTGATGATCTCCT